GTAGTGCTTACTGACTTGCTCCCCATGACTTGTTAAGCCTGCTTTTTTATACTAAGCAGGAGCACCAACCCAAGGGTGGTATTACCTCTAGTGATCTTAGCCTATCCCTCATCAATGTGTGTAATAGCAGTGAAAAAAAGAAGCCTCGAATTTGAAGGTGAGCAAGAAGGCATATATGGCAATGGTTTTGAGGGACGAAAGAGAAGAAAAAATTTATAATCATATTTTAAGCTAAAAAAAAAAAAGAAAATGTAGCGCAGGCTTGCCTATCAGCCATCTGGTGGGAGCAGGTTTTCAAATATTAAGGTTCACCATTCCCAAAGGGCTATGACTAGTGGCAAATTAACATAAAACTAGCCACATAATTGATCCTTTGTTAATCCATAAACTTTACTTTCCTGTTCATACCCAGGACTCCACATTAATATCAGGATCACAATACAAAGCGTTCCAACATTTAACATCCTACATTTTTTTTTAAAGTTCAACATTTAAAAGTCCAAAGTCTCTTTAAAATATTAAAAAATGCTCTAGAAATACAAAGTCTTCTAAAATTGAAAAATTTCTCTTAAATATTCAAAGTCCCTCTGAAAGTCCAAAATATCTTAAAACGTCATGTTTCTTTGAAAGTTCAAAGTCTCTCAACTGAGGGCCTCTATAAATAAAAATATAGTTACACATTTTCTTACTCTAAGAGGGAATAACCTGTGCAATTATAAGCAAAGTAAAACCAAAGTATACTGTGTCAGGAACTCATTGTCCTGTGCCATGATCTTCTGGGCTCCTCCAAAAGGCTTATGCCATCGTCTATAGCACATATAGCTTATCTCTGTGGTTTAGGAAAGCCCCATTTCATAGCTGCTGCTGTCCTTGGTGGTCATTTCATACTACTAGCATCTTCAAAATGCTACAACTGAATTGTATCCATAGCCTCTCCTGGGCTCTGCTCAGTGACCCTGATCATGGTAAGTGTTGACAAGCCTTAACATCTCTCCATAATTCTTTCAATTACTAGGCTGTCTACTAGAACAGGACCTGCACCTTATCCACTTTTGTTTCTAATAGCTGTTATTACAACCACTTCATCCCTGCAAAGACTTTTATGGTAGATCCTCCCTACAGGCGGGCCTCTTCCTAGGCCTAGATATGTGTCTCATTATGTTATGTCACAGGCACAGACAGTCATGGCTATGCCATGTATGTACCAGGCCTAGATATGTGTCTCATTATGTTATGTCACAGGCACAGACAGTCATGGCTATGCCATGTATGTACCAGGATAAGTACAGCCCAACTCCACCTTTCTGAGTTTGCCTCCCCACTTTAATCTAGGAAACTGGGCCTATCACAACTCTTCCCACGGGATGTAAGTCAGTGGTTCTCAACCTTCCTAATGCTGAGACACTTTAATGTGGTTCCTCATATTGTAGTGACTCCCAACTATAAAATTATATTCATTGCTACTTAATAACTTTGATTTTCTTACTATAATGAATTATAATGTAAATATCTGTGTTTTCTAATGGTCTTAGGTAATCCTTGTAAAAGAGTCTGTTGACCTCCAAGGGGGTTGAGACTCACAGGATGAGAACCACTGATCAAAGAGCTCCCTGGAACAGACCCTACCAAGGTATCCCCATTCATACAATTTCACTCAACCTGCAGGGCCTGCAACCATGAAATTATTTGCCCATATTTAGGATTGTTCCTCCCTTTGATGCTTCAATAACATATCTCTAGTAGCCTCTTGGAAGCCTTCATCTTCTGTTCCAGTAAAACAGAGGTGAAATCCACCATTAAACTCCAATATGTAGCTATGATCTTTTCTTTCACTTTTCTGAGCTTTACAATATAACTTTTTAAATGCAGCTTTTATTATTTGAGATTTTTGCATATCTATATATTTGTTTGTTATGCCCATACTACACTCTTCCCTTTAACTCTTCCCAGGCACCTCATCTCTATATCTCTTTCCTAAATTCATGTCAACTTTTATACCTCTCTCCTAGTCCACTTGGAGCTGAATGTTTGTGGAGTGATGTGGGGCCATCCATTGGAATGTGAGCAACCAAGGCCACATCAGAAAAGATAACAGATTTTCTATCCTCCAACAGTCACCAACTGTCAAGAGTGCCTTAGCAGGGGGTAGGGCCCCAGGAGTCCCTCTTCTATCGATGCTGGATTGTTTACTGGCTTCATCTTGAACTTGTACAGCTCTGTGAAGGCAGTCATAGCTATTGTGAATACAGTAGTCTGTTGTGCCCAGAAGACATTGGTTTTCAGCAGTTGCATCTTTGTGATCCATTTGCTTCCTCTTCTTCTGGGATGCTCTCTGAGCCTTTGGTGTGGGAGTGTGATATAGATGTTGGATTTATAGTGGCGTACTTCATAGACATTTATTCATTCACCTTACTCTCACCAGTTGTGAGTCTCCATACTAACAAGAGAGGATAAAACTCGTCTTCTCTGCATGGGAGCTGGAACTGCAGTAATACTTGGATCTGATGGTCTCTATGATAAATTATTTTATAGCTATCTCCTCGTCGTCCCTGTACATCCTATAGGACTCAAGCTAGTTTAGAGAAACCACCTCATAACTCTTCCTTCAGGGAGGCTCCTTGAAATATTCCTGGATGGTTCTCATCACTTATCATGGCATACTGTTTTCACTTCTGCATGGAAAGCTTAAAGCAGTGGTGCTACTCTGTTAGCAGTTTATTAATGGTCTCTTTACTAATATTTCTCTGTTCTAGTTATTTTTCTACTATTGTAATGAACATTGTGACCAATAACAACTTGTGTTTATTTGGCTTCCATTCCACAGTCTATTTTTCAGGAAAGTTGAGTCAAGAACTCAGAGTAGGAATCTAAGCTATGACACCCTTCCAGAATTAAAAAAAAAAAAAAAAGTTTTCATCGCTTTTCTGTGATTTAACCTTGCCGAACTATCAAAGGAGAAATGTAGAAACTAAAGGGTCCAAAAGAGAAAGTAAACATGTCCATACTTTAATAATTAGTCCCTGACCATTTGGAGTTAACAGTCAATGACTTCTGATGCTTAATTCATGCAATTAAAGCAGAAACCCTAATGATCCCTGGAGATTGAACCCAAATGACAAGTTTCAGGAAGGACATAAGTAAATAAGTAGTAAGTCTTACTACTTAACAAGATAGCCAGAAATCTACATCCTTTTCTTTAAAAAGATGATTTACTCAACATGTAAGCCTTATTTTGTTATGGACCCACATAGAAATCACTAAGAAACCATTTTATCTTCTTTTTATACCATCTTTAACTTCTTTGCAAAAATTTTACATTGCTTTTTATGTTATAAATGTTTATGGGTGTGAAATTATTTCCTGGAGCATGGACAACTTCTCACTGATATTAGTTTAGAAAATGAGTGCCCAAGACCATTGACTGTCAATAGTATCTCAGCAAAGGGTAGAGCCTTGGAAGCCCATTCATGCTGAAATAGTAACATTTCCTGTTGACACAATCTTTTGTCATGCTTGTGTATTTTGTCACCACAACTGCAGTGAGTGCATAAGCATATCAGGAAACAATGTCTTCCGGACATAGCATGCCACTCCTTAATTGGCCCAGATCCTACATAAATGGTGTAAGCTAAGACTCAAAAATTCTCAAAAACATTCCAAAAGAAACCAATTCCCTCTCAGGGGCCCACTTGTTTCTCTGAGAATGTTCCTAATATTTTTTCTTTCTCTATTACTGCATATGCATTTTTATTTGGATTTTTATTTTAATTCTGGTTATGATAAAAACTTCAACACACCCTTCCCATGCCTTTGGCTTGATGTTCATGGCACAACAGACAAGGACTGTCAGGGTTGATCAGAGAGTTGAAACAGTTAGGAAATTGACATCTGAAAGGTTTCAAGGGAGCGGAAATAATGAGGATGGCAGATGATGGGAAGGAGGGGCCTTAGAGAAGCTAGCCGGGGAAATCCTATGTTTCACAAAGCGACAACTATAGTTACGAATTATCTTACCAAACTTATTTCTTATGACAATAAGAAATGATGTGATAAAACCAGTCAGATGTGATAGATCACATAGTTATCAGGGGTTTAGTGAGCTGATTGATTAGGAGATTCTCATGAGAGAAGCAGGATGAAACAGAAAAACAAAAAAAGAAAGTTCAGAAGTTACCAGGAAATGGAGCCGAAAAGATGAATCAACTTTTAAAAGAGCACTGGTTGCACTGGTTGCACTAGTTGGACTGGCAGAGGCTGTAGGTTCAATTCCCAGCACACACATGGCAGCTCACAACTGTCTATATCTCCAGTTCCATGAAATCTGATGCCCTCTTTTGACCTCCATTTATACCAGACACACAGGGTACACAGATGTACATGAGACAAATTACACATAAATGTAACATTTCAATGTATTTTTAGGGAAAAAATTCTATTCTACAGAGTCAAGTGTAATCCCTACATGGACTTAGAAAAGGAGCCAGGAAGAATTTTCCAATCCAGAGCCAATCCCAGGAGCTATGACAAATCTTTCTAAAAAGCCAGTGAGAAAGATTTCTACCCTACGAAATACAAGTTTTGCCTTCACCAAAACTCACATTGAAATGTAATGCTTACTGTTTGAAATATGAAAAGAGTAAAAACGTAATCCAACTATGTTTAGAGGTGGAAACTTTAGGAGGCCTGTATGGTTAAATGAGGCTGTTAGGTTGGGCCCTTAATCCAATGGGAGTATGGCTTTATAGGTAGAGGAAAGGAGCCCAAGATATGCAGCTGTGTCTTTCTAGCTGATACCCATCAGTGCATTGGAATTCTGCAGAAGAGCACTGACAGATCTAGTTGTTCAATCTTGTACTTCCCAGGCTTCAAAACCATGAATCAAATCTTTTTTTTTTTCTTCATAGTATTCTCAATTTGTGTCATTAGGATGTAATAACAAAAAACCAAAAGTGCCTTTCAAAAGACCAGGACTCTAACCCAGCTACAAGGCAGATACTTACCCCAAATCATGCAATCAAAATGTATCTGCAAGATGCTTTAGGAGGCTATCATCAAGAGTTGGAGTCATCCATTGGTTCCTTAAGCAGTACAGCCAGAAGTAAAGACAAAGGCTGCAATAGTGTCCATTGTAGTTCAGGGCAAGAAGTTCAACTTTCTAATGGTACATCTGATCCTGTCCAAGTAACTGTTAAAGGAAAAAATGCAGAAAGACAGTAAAGAATACTATATTCAATACTGACTTTAAAAAAACAAATTAGTGCCACTGCAGTGGGATTCCAGAGGGAATGAGAAATGAAATGTATCTATAACATAGCAAATTGTGGTTTATAGCAGAAGGTTAACTGAAGGGAATCAGTGATTAGAATACTAATAAGAAACAGGAGGAATAAGAGTATTCTTAGTAGATTGAACTACCAGGATTCTTCTTTGAAACAGGTCAGACTAACAGGTTATCTAGTATATTCAGCATGAGGAATTTGGTCATATATGTAAGGGTGTCAGAACCAAGTGGGGATTCACTAAATTGATAATAGTATTCATGTTCAAATTGGATTCTGTACCAACAGTTGAGGAAACCAATTGTCATGTCTACATGTTCAGAGGTCTCAAAGAAGCCTGATTAAAGTCAGGCCAGAGGAGTGCTTCTTTATTACATCCTTTGTCTGAGTAGTTGCTAGCTATTATACACAAACAATATAATTTAAATGACTCTAGGTGATGTCAAGGAGAATAGAGGTAGCATAAATGTACAGGGAGAACTATTTGCCCTGAGAGAGAGTCTCTGGCCCTAGGATACTAATAATGTTTAGACTGTTTTTTGAAAACATATTTGAAGCTTCAATGGGATCTCAAAAGAGTTTTGAGACAGGAAATGTCATGAACATTTATAGAACTGAAAGGCTAATTCAAGCATAGGGGGTTAGTAGGCTGAATTTACCTGGAGAAGGCTCTAGAGTAGTGATTCTCAACCTTTGTAATACTGTCATTCTTTAAGACAGTTCATCAAGTTGTGGTGATCCAGACCATAAAGTTATTTTCATTGCTACTTCATAACTATTATGTTGCTACTGTAATGAGTTGTGATGCAAATATCTGTTTTCCTCTTGTCTTAAGTGACCCAAGTGAAAGGGTTGTTTGACCCGAATAGAGTTGTTACCCACAGGTTGAGATCCATGGCTCTAGACAGCCACCTGGATATGCTCTTTCTGCTTTCTTTCAGGATCTCATCTTGATTTTATACAAGTGATTTGAGGGGTTGAAAGAAGGATTTCAAAATTACTGTGGCTGGAGTGTTGGCCAGAGACTAGAAAATAGCAGGTCTAGTCAGTCTAATTCAAAGGGTGTGGGGTTACTAGTTGCCCCAAGACATGGTAGCAACTCAAAACAGGATAGCAGCAGAAGAGATAAAATGAGTTTCTTAAAATATGTAGGCCAGCACAAGAGAAATCTGAAGAGATCTGGACTAAGAGATTTACCCAGACTCCTGAATGGTCTAAATATCTGTTGATGTGGTTAGTCTCTAAGACATAAAAGTCAGGAGGAACAGCATGTATGTATGTGGAAAGGGTAGGGAATTTTTCATCTAGCTAATTTCTCCCATCTTTCCAATCAAAGTAGTAATTTTTAAACGTTAGATAATAAGAAAATACGTTTCACATAGTTTCCCAATGCACAGAATGTAGAGCAGACCCCAATGATTCTCTTTCATACACCACAAGTGGGTATACTCCTATTACATTAATTTATAAAGAAAGAAAAAAAACAAGATGGCCACCAGAGAGGATCGCCAAGCCACGACTGCTGTAGTGACGAAGGCAGGGTGCATTGTGACATATCTCAGGGTTTCCTTTGTGACCTCCCCAGCCCTAGTGCTGGTACTGAACTCCTGAGATTCTGTCTGCCAGACAGATCTAGCTCCTGCTCGTGTCCGGAGCACAGACAAGTGGCTGCGTCGGCCCAATTCTAGCTTGGCCCTCAGTTTCCCAGTCATGGCAACCTCCACCACCTCACACCGACCCATCAAGGGGATACTCAAAAACAAAAGTTCAACATCTTCAGTGGAGGATACTTCTCAGTCATCCGGAAGACCAGGCACCCAGGAGTTGCAACGGAAGAAATCGCAGAAGTGGGACGAATCCAACATACTAGCAACCCACTATCCATCCTACAAAGACTATGACCTGATGAAGAAGAATGAGCCCGGCAACCCCTATGGCAGCATGCCACACGATGAAGACACCATAAGTGAAGTTCAAGGAAAAGACGCCATGACTTCTGACACCTTAGCGAAGAAACTCGCAGCCTCTGACACTTTGGGGACCAGTTATCAGGGTGAGGAGCAAGAAAGCAGCGGTGCACATAGTAGCAAATTCTTCCTGGACAAACAAGAAAGGCAACGGCAATTTGAGTTAAAAAGGAAGTTACACTACAACGAAGGATTAAACATCAAATTGGCCAGACAACTGATATCGGAGGAGCTACAATCTGAAGTAGAGGAAGATGAAAACCAACCACGTCTACATTCAAATTATTGAAGAAAAGACTACTACAGAAGAAGCTCCGACAATTGAACATCTAGAAATTTACCATCAAACGCATATAAGATCTGCAGTTGCCGCTGCCTTTGCCGCTGTCTTTGTCTATACCATCGCTGCTTCTTGCTTCTTAGAACCCATGGTCTTAGTGTGACTCTACTTGTCCATTTAACTGTTTAATGGTGTTTACTGGTCATGCAGGAATTAAATGGTAATCTTAGAAAATATTGAATTGGCTTAAACATCTGTCTGTTGTGCCTGTGCTTCATTTCTTGTGGCAATAGTTGTCAGCTGTTGCTGCTGTCTGCTGCTGCTTCTGCTTCCCTTTTCTTCACCTTCTTTTTTTCTATTCGTTTTCCTTTTATTATTTTTCCTCTTCCTCTTCGACTTCCTCCTCCTCCTCCTTCTATCTTCTTTTAAAAATCGCCTTGAACTAACTTTAGATTGACATTTAGTTATGGGAAAAGATTCAGGAAAGAAAACCTCTGTACCCCTTAGTTGATATGCTGGGAATGGTAATGAATAGTGCCCCTTTTAGAGCCACATTGGTTCTCACTTTCTAAAATTTTGTTTGATGACTAGTAAGCACAGCATTGAAGAATTTCAATGGTATAAAGGTACATTTCTAAAAAGTGGGGACATATTTACCAAGCAGAGGCATGTGTTAGAGGTAGTTACCAGGAATTGGAGGAGAAAAATGAATAAGCAACACCCTCTCCTAGGGTTCTTGAAGCTTTCTGCAGAGGATGCTTCTATTAAAATGGGAGCCAACATTCGGGATAGGATTACATACCTATTTTAATAAAAATTGGTTTACAGATGAGCACCAATTTTCAGAAGAATAATGCTGTCTCCAAATTTCCTGTTGACCTGAAGATGAAAACAAAAAGGGTTGGAGACATGGTCCAGTGGTTAAGTGTACATACTGCTCTTGCAGATGGTTCAAATAGTGTTTCTAGCACCCATATTGGGTGACTCACAACTACTTGTAATTTCATTTCCAGGAGATTAAATGCACTCTTTGGTACTCTTGCACCTGCACACATATACATAATTTTTTAAAAAAATTAAAAGAATAGAGACATAGCCATTAAGAACACTTGCTGCCTTTTCAGAGGACCTGAGTTCAGTTCCACAGAGCCATCTGTAACTCCAGTTTTATAGGTTCTAATGTATTCTTCTGAAGTCCAGAGGCATGGTGTACATATGGGGCATAGACATACATGCAGACAAAAAACACCTATACATATAAAGATAATTTTTTTAAAAAAAATAAAGACAGGGAAACCAATTTGAAGACCTATTTCTGCTCAAACAAAGCATATGGTACAGCTCCACATGGCTAGAGCATAAGTAATGCAAAAAGATAGATGGAAAGGATTGCTAATTCACAATATGGGTAATGACAATCAAATAATGCTTAACAGAATAACATATGGGGGTCAACTAGAAGTATATACTTGAAAATTCCATTTGCACAAGGTGATGCTTATACTACTGTTTGCACAACACAGTACCATGTCAATGATCAGAAAAATGTGTTGGCAAGGAATGAGCAGGACAGAACCTTTAAAATATAAATTTAATGATGAATACTACCACTCATTTCTTACAGACATCTTGATAAAATTAGCACTGCTATTTATAAAATCTATAAATTCAGTTCACAGATGTAGGAAGCAACATTCAATGTCAACATACATTCAAGGATAGGCAGCAAAGGCCAGTTGTGTTTCAGCAGCCCAAGCTATGTGTACACGTGGTATTTGAAGGGCTTAAGAGTATAGCTTGCAAAGGTCTGCTGGAAAATGAAAAATTCTTGTGTGTCTTGTGTGATATCTGTGTCTATATGTGTGCATGGAAAAAGCTGCCTCAGGTATTCATATCCACAAGCATAAACATAGTTCTCTAATAGAAGATTATACATTATCAGTGCCTAAAAAATACAAGAATTGTTATCATTATGTAGGCAGGGCATTTTTACACTGCTGAACCTGCCTATGCATACTAGGTACTAAACAGTTTATTCTTCTGAAGAATCTTCTTTTTCTTAATCTTCCCCCTCCCCTATTTTAAAACAGACTCTTTAAAAGGTGAATATGAACCTGGTTTCCATAGCAATTTCAAGCATAAGTGATAACCCAGCATTTCTAAGTTATAATATACAGTCTGCCCTATTAATGAGTTTCAAACTGCATTTCCATGAAGCAACGACTCAGTCACTGATAGATAAGGTCAGACCCCATCTTCAAACTTTAAATTAAATTGGAATAGATCAAAATGCAGCAGAAGGAGGAGTGTCCTTTTGGGGAAGTGTGCTATTAAAAAAGAATATATTCTTTTTGGAAAGAAAACTGTCACTTTTGTTGTTTGTAATACCCAGATGGAAAAAAATCTAAAACATATACACGCCTCTTCAGGAGTATTAAAGCATATCATCATTTTCTTATCTTATTTATGACTGAATTTCACCCTTAATAGCTCTGACTCTATGAAACCACATAATTACCAATCCATTGACCTAAGAAGGGCAAGTGTGATGGTTAATCCTAGCCAGGTCAGGAGTAATATAAGCTTAATTATAACATCAACTTACTCATTCATGAACTATATGCTGAGAGCTTGTCCCTACATTGAAAGAGTTCTCAGTTGATTGGTGTGCTCAGCCATTTCTGACATATGCAGGAGTGCTTACAGGGTCCTGGAGGGATATTGCTCCAGGTCTTGAAAGGCCTTGCTGTGTGATTGATTTTGAAGATAGCATCCAGAATAGAAACAAAATTTAAGCAAGTATAGATAGGTAGATCTGGAAAGCTTGGCATTCCAAATACAGGCATGGAACACAGAAAGACTACCTTGGCTTTAAGAGGCAAGAAGTTTCCCAGACTAACTATATAGAACACAAAGGCACCAGGAGACCCCATTTCTTTAAGCGAGAAGTGTGATCAGACACTTCTTTATGAAAGATCATCTTAGCTGAGAGCATGGCCATGAACTAACCAAATAAGGAAGACAAAACTGGAGACAGTAAGCTGGATTCCAGAAAGTTGAAGACTATAATGGCGAAGTATCGAAATCCTTATTTTTGTACTAAAAAAGGAAGGAAGGAAGGAAGGAAGAAGGAAAAGAAAGAGAGAGAAAGAGAAAGAGAGTGAAGGAAAGAAAGAAAGAAAGAAAGGAAGGAAGGAAGGAAGGAAGGAAGGAAGGAAGGAAGGAAGGAAGGAAGGAAGGAAGGAAAAAAGAAAGAAAAACCGAAAAACCAAATATCCAAAGCCACAACTGTCCTTAACTCAATGCCAGACACACAGAGGCTAGTAAGAAGTCCAAATACTCACCTCAGGCCATCTCCCAAGAGCTGCTATCTTAGTATGTTGGTGTCTCAGGTCCAGCAATTTTTAACTTAACCAGCTACTCAGGGAACTCGTCCAGATAATCAACTACTACAATATGATGTTTTATTTAACCAAGTTCTATTCTGTGAAAGATATCTCACTGATCCTCTCTATGTATTTTTTGCGAGTACAAACATTTGCAAAAATATATCGCACAGAATTTAAGGGCAACCTACAAGTTTGTAAAGAAAATTTTACAAATGGGCTGGAGAGATGGCTCAGCAGGTAAGGGTGCTTGTCTCCAAGTCTGACAACCTGTGTTTGATCTTTGGGACCCAAAAAGTGAGAGGAGAAAATCCACTCATGTAGGTTATGCCCTAACTTCCACATAAACAATACATTAAAAAAATAAATATCAAAACATTAAAATGACATTTCCATGAGTATGCTGTCAGATTGAAATCTCAGCTATACTCATTTTGCCCCCATCCTCAAGAAAATGTTTCTCTAGTTTGTCCTCATGGTTTGGTATTTGCCATACAGTTTCAGAACTTTCATATATCTCTAGCCTTACTAGGACCATTCCATTTGCTTAGCATCCATACCTTCATGTTTTCATTGTGTGTTTCATCCAGTCTTCTGCATTCAGTACAAACCCCTCCTCAAACACCCAAGTTCGAATGGCAAGTATTTGCCCTGGGAAAGGCACAAGAGTATAACTGGCAGTAAATGTTTTAGACTCAAACAATCTGAGTTGGAATCCATGTTCTGCCACAGGCTATCTTATCACTCAAGAAAGAGAAAGCACTTCACCCATCGGACCTTGTTTCCTCACAACTGCATGAGGACAATACTTACAGTGCCTTCTGTGGATGGTTGCTGGAATGAATAAATGAAAAGGTGTTAGTAGGCACATGGTTTCTATTAAATATCCACTAGATGGTAGATATTATTAGTCTCCTCACCTGCACACTTTTCTGTGCATGTGTTAATATGCTGATCATTTCCATGATAGTGCTAGATATTTTTAAAGCTACTTATCTTTTCTCACTTTTCTCACTTTTGTGTATAGGAGCTATGCCCATGGGTCCAAAGTCTCTAACAATAGTGTCATATTATTACTATGTCATATTATTGTCTATATTGCAAAGTGAAACTGAAAGGATGAGTTTGAACATGTTTCACCCCTGTTAAATTGGATCCCACAATCCACCTGTGATTAGTCAAATACAATTTGTTCTCTGGTGGTACTGAAACTGCAGTGTCAGAAGCCTTTGGGGATACAGGAGAAGGCAAAGGGAGGAGTAGGGAGTCTCAAAAGGTTACTCAAAGCAGTGACAATTGCATCAAGTAATCTTCCCTTTGAGGATGTCCTTGATGTTTTTCATCATCTCTAAGTCTGCAAAGCAGGAGATAAAATGGGAGGACAGTAAGCAGGATTTAGATATAAAGCCAAACTACAGTTTAATTTTCAAACACATTGAAATTTCTAGGACACAGTCAAGTTTAAGAAAGAAAGGCATTAATTCTGTCTCATGCAAACCACAGGTAAGAATCATAGAATCATTTATAGTAACACATGACACTTTATATTCGTATATTGTATTTCTGATTCTTACTTTCTTTCCTTCTTGACTTCTTTTTGTTAGTTGCTATTTGACATAAACAGCAAGCTTTATGAACTGAAAATAGAAAGAAACTTAGTGACCCTTTAGTCTCACTGCTTCAACTTATCACGCCATGTTCTCTGTCTCAGAAACAGGGAATATCAAAAGATCACCCTGGGGATAGAAAACTACTGGGGAGCCATATACAAAGCATGTAGCCTATAGCCACATGCTTTGTATATGGGAAACATAAATTAACTATAAGCCCAAATATACTCGTTCTCATTTGGAGATAGTTCTTCTGCTTTGAACTGAGAAAAGCCTTCCAGTGGAGTATGTCCTTTTGTAGAAAACCTGACCTCACCCATCTGACTCTATGCAAATACCCCAAGAGATAAAATCAAGTAACTTCTCTTGAAAAGGAAACAGCTTTCCTATCAGAAAATACTTTCTCATAGGAAATACTTCTCCCCTATATCTAGTGTTCATCATTCCTAGCATGTCATGCTTTGATAATAAATACATGCTGCAGAGAAACAGAACCACAGTGGGTGCATTCTATGAAAGAAAATATCCCTCAGAGGTAGTGAGGCCCTCACATCATAGTCAAGAGGGATAACTTGGTCTTATTTTATGAGCTATAAGTGTGGGGTCATTTGAGTGCAATCGTATTTGAATAGATAAGAATCTGGGATTTCACCATCATGTTAGATAGTACATTTCAAAATATTCTTTGTACTTTCTCAGACTAGTCACTTGGGATGAAGCATCATAAGTCAATTAGGAGACAGACTCTAGTTGTTTATATCAAACACTGCAAGTCACTGGGTCAAGCTCTACATTTTGGTTTATTATTTTAAACCTAGTGCTTATACACTATCCCACTTGACATATCAGCAAGACTGAATAACTGACTTCTTCTGGAATTGTTTTAGAGCTGAAGTGGGGAACCAAGGACCCTGGTAAGTGGTGTCAGTTTGTCATTCAATCAAAGTACCATAAGGTATGTATCTGTTGTTTTTCTGTTGCTGTGATAAAGTACTCTGACAATGACAATTTATAGAAGAAAGGGTTTATTCAGGCCTATAGTACCAGTGGAATAAGACTTCATCATAGAAGGAAGGCATAGCAGTAAGCAGCATGCATGGCAACAAGAAAAAAGCTAAGGACTGACATCTTAAACCCTAAGCACAAAATAAATAAAGAGAAAATAACTAACCAGAAGTAGGTTAAGGCTTTAATCTCTCAAAGCTCACCACAAATGGCATACTTCTTTGACCAAGGGACATACCTCCTAGTAATACTTCCAAGTGGCCCAGCAACCACTGATAAACAGTTCAAATACATGAGGCTATGACAGGAAATTCTCATTCAAACCAAAAAAAGGCATAAAAGGCTGTAACAGTATTTTTGAGAGGAGAGAGGGGTGGTGACTATAGAAAGTAGATGGCTAGCCTACTGCTTGATGGTCAAGTGGTAACACAAGTACCTGATGTTGATGATACTGTTGGATATTCATGAAATAACTATCTGTAAATTAATGGGTTTTATACTCTCTGGGCAAAATTGTTTGGATGGCTTAGCTAGAAAAAGGGTAAAGGCAAATGTGCCACTTTTTGATCAAGAGTGATCGATTTCTTGAGGGGGGGGGTTTAAGCAAAATAAGCAAGCAAGTAAACAAACAAACAAAAAATCAAGCAAACAAAACAAGAATTAGACCCTAACAGAGTCCCAACGCGTCTTTAGATTTTAATATACAAGAGAAGATAGCTTATAAAATGTTATCATAGAGACATCCAGATTCAAGTGCATACAGATTGATGCAGCTCCAGCCCTTGAAGACAATAAGACTTTTAGCCGCTCTGTTAGTATGGAGACTGACAACTGGTAAAAGTGCAGTGAATAAGTGTCTATGGAGTCTTAGCTTTGTTGAAAGGAAAAGTGGGGTGTGAATAGAAGAAACAAATATTATATAGATGTAAGAAGTTCTCAATAAAAAAAATTTATTATATTGTAGAGATCTGCAAAGTGAGAGAAAGATTATTGGGTATTTATTGGTGTCTGAAAGAGTTTAGGCGTAGATTTTACCTCTATTTTGCTGGAACAGAAGATGAATATTTTCAAGAGGCTATCAGAAATATCTGGTTGAAACTTCAAGGGGAAGAACAGTCTTAAATCTTGGCAAGTGATTACATGGTAACAGGCCTTGCAACTTTACTGGAGTTGTATGAATGGGGAGACCTAGTTAGGGTCTGTTCCAGGAAGCTTAAATGTGTGGTTCTCATCCTGTGAGTAGCAAAACACCATAGCAAAATTAAATTATGAAGTAGTGACAAAAATAATTTCATTATTGGGGGTTATCACAAGATGAGGAACTGTATTAAAGAATCTCAGCATTAGGCAGGTTGAGAACCATTGGCTTAAATCCTGTGGCAAGAATGTGAAGTAGGCCCAGTCTCCTAGATTAAAGTGGGGATGTGATCCTAGAAAGGTAAAGAGTCAGGCTATACTTATCTTAGTACTAGTGACAGCCATAAATGTGTGTGTGTTTTTAACATAACACTGAGACAGGTAGGGAGTATCTGGGTCTAGGGAGTGGCTTGTCTGAAGGGAGGGTCTACTGTATAAAACTTCACAGGGGATTAATAATAGCTTATGTTTTAGGCTCTGTAAGGATACCTCTGGTCTGCTTGTGAACTCTAGATCTAATGCTTATCTAGTTTCTTGAAGAATGTATAAAGCATGCTGAAGGGTGGTTAGAGGTGAGTTGAGAGATAAGTAGCTTAGCATAGAAGCCATAATACCAGTTTAGATTGTAATCACCTCGGGTGTTAGACTCATAGATATCAGAATGGTACTTTGGCTCAGCTTTGAAATGTATAATGGCTACCTGGTTGGAAGTCAGATGGTTTCTGAAGAATCAAGACTTCAGAGGTCATGTTTAGTACCAAGGGCCATGAGAATACCCTACAGATGACTGCATGAGTGTGGCTTAAATAGAAAAACTTAAGAAAATCTGTGTAAATGTCAACTCTTATTCATCCCTACCCCCAGTTGGAAAGTACTACAGAGGGCAGCTAGTTCTGATTTGGAGTCTATCATGTGATTACCTAGAAAGGATTCAGTGTCTTTGACCTCTGTCGCACTTACTGTTGTATGAGTTGAAAGCCTTTGGTCAGACACCATAAAACCTTTTCTACCCATAAGTCAGGTGTGCCAGGGTTGGAAAATAGAGAATTGTGTAGATATAATTTAACACTGTAAGGATTGTATGTAGTTTCTGTACAGAACTGGAGATAGTTCTCAGGGGTTAGATCTAGCAGTAAGGGAGTGGGATTTCAAGCTTGGCAAGGTATTTTTACCATGAGCTCTGGACTTTGTAAGATGAGAGTCTGGTGCATTATCTGACACCTAATAGAAGGCTCTGAAACTAAGTGTTTCAAAGACATGGTAAGGTTCTTTTAAGTGGCTAAATCTGATGTCTTTAATGGTTGTCTAAAGTAATTTATGAGCTTTATGTACCCAGCTGTACCAGTCTGTTTAAGAATCCTGGTTGGGGTTTATTTTTATAATATTAGTATTTATTTTTATTATTATCCTAATTTTCTTTCCTGTTGCTGTGATTAAATACTCTGATTAAAGTAACTTAAAAGAAAAAGGATACATTTTAGCCCATACTTCTGTGTTAGTATCTGTCATAATGGTGACATTATTGCATCAATGGTCAGAAGAGTAATAAATGTGTGCTGCTACTGAGTTTTGTTTCTTTCTACTCATACAATTCTGAATCTCATGCTTTTTGGCTGGTCTAACTCACAATCAAGAAGGACCTTGTGTCTGTCTTGTGTGATTGTGTCACTTAATATAATCAAGATAATCCTTTTCAGCCATGCAAAGAGATGATTTTAGCCTTTGTCAAGTTGATAACTAACTCAAATTATCAATAGTTATATACCTTCTTAGTTACTATTTATGACAATGTAGATAGCCCAAACATTTTTGATTGTCTCATGAGGCTCCTAAGGGTCTTTTCTGAAGTCTCATAGAGATTTCAGAAAAACCCTTTGGCTCCTTTAGCTTTTCGTTACAAATTATATTATCTGTTGATTATGTCACTTTCTTTGGAAATATGGGAAACATTTTCCTTTGTAGTGACTTTTCTTTTAGTAGAATACGTGTTGGTTAAAGGCAATAGTGGCTTGAATAGGATATGTCCCACACAGGCTCACACACTTGAATATTTGGTCTCTAGTTGGTGGCATTGTTTAGAAC